AGCCTATAACATTTGTGCTTTTTTAATCCTCTTAGTAAAATTCACGATTTTAATGTTATTCATAGGATAATGTGAATTCTCAGTCAAGCAACTTTTTCAAAAAGAGCTAAACCCCAAGTGATGTTGAACTTTAATAAGCTTATATATACCTAAAAAAATGCATTAAATTATTTTCCTCAAATCCAAAGTGAGGAGATGAACTTTTATGATATAGGAAATTATGAAAGTTTAGATATTGTTATTGCAAAAGTAATCAAAAATTTATTTTTTACAGAGGGTTGGTATAAATTTTTGAAAATAATTGTATCTTTTGCTCTTAAACCTTTCTCTTTCACAAACTTATGCCAACCATATGTAAAAATAAAATTTTTGATTTCTTTTGCAATAATACCTAAACTTATATATCAGAAAAGTTCATGTTCTCACTTTAGATTTGAGAATAATACTTTATTGCATATATATGCTTTTTAGATATATACAAACCTATAAAGCTAAACATCACTTATATATAGTTAGTTCCTTCTGAAAAATTTGGTTGTACGAGAATTCAACATTATCCTAAGTAACATTGAAATCATGAATTTATCAAGAGGACTAAAAAACACACAAAATGATGTAGGCTTGTGATCCCTAAGTAATATTAGAATCTCATATTTTAAGAAGGTTTACATATAGTAGGTAGATATCCTTGTGGGGAACCTATACAAATCATTTACATTAGTGTACATAATTTAAGCTCTTAGGAGTTTATATTTTCTGTGGATCGTTGTCAGAAAATATCTCTTGTATGACATGCAACAACAACAAGTCAACAACATACATACCAACTGTAATCCAACAAGTGGTGTATAAGGAGAGTAGTGTCTACACATACCTTAGCACAATGACCATTATGTTGGCCCACAAAACCTTTGAATCTTGAACCAGAATTGCAAGATTTTTTCTCACGTGGATGAGTAGTGTATTTACTTGGGCAATAGATGATTACTCGCTCTTAAATCACAATCACCAATCGTTACGTATATGATTGTTAAGTTTGTTTCATCTTCCATTTTGAAGCTTAAGAAAATTAAAAAAAAAAATTAAAGAAAATTTATGAAAATATTAGAGATTGGTAGGTAGTTAACATTTTTTATTGTTCAAACACAAAGATCGAAATATAAAAATAACATTATTAACAATGAACAAAAAATTAAAATACTTAATTCTAATTCATTTTAAATCCACTCAAAATAGGATTTTTCAAAAATAGGATTTGTTTATTTTCTATTTAGATGGTCTCACTCAATTAATGTTCATATCACATTCTTTTTGTTGATTTCCAATTTTTCAACAAAAAAAATGACTTTCCAAGATGATAACTATTAGCTGAATGACTGATTATCTGAGAGGTCAACACAATTCTTTTTAAATGCTACTTTTTTTCTTTTCAAATTTCACAAATTCTATGCCCAAACTCCCATCCAAACAAAAGACTTTCTAAAGATATTCTAAGACTCACGCTTTTATAATTCAAAAAAAAAAAACTACAAGGGTTTTCATATAATGACTTAAACTATAAAATTTTTTTTGCGAAACAACAGTAGCAAGAATTAACGTGAAAAAAATATAAGGAGAATGAACAAAAAAACAAACCCGATTATCTCAAGTATTAACGGCGGCTTCGGAAAAAGGAAAACAGAAGAAGGAAGGAAAAACTGGATACTTACATAGAGTTCGATCAATAACACACAAGACTTGGCATCTTTGTCAAGACAATTTTGAAATTCACTGCATCCATTGGAGTATACCTCTGCAAAGAAAGAGAAAGTTAGAGGAGCTACAAAAAGTTAGAAATAAAGGGAAGGATACCTACTTCAACGAGCTGAGGAAGAGAAGAGTGCATGGCATCATGAGATACACATAGATGATTCACAATGCGAGAGGTGGAAAGTAAGTCAAGTTCAGACCCATATTCTAGGAGAAAACATGTTGATGAAAGAGGCGGAAGGAAATGAGGAGTATCAGATAGGAAACCCTACCATTCACGATCAATTTATAGAGTGGTCTATTTTCTATTTTGGATGGGGCCGATTAGGTAGTACTTGCTTGATTTATTTGGGTTATTTTGGGCCTTCTCGTACAGAATTTTTGAAGTGGAATATAGGAGCTACGAGCTAGATGCTCCACAATCAATTTTATTTTTTAAAAAATGGCAGAAGCTACGTCATTTTCGTAAGAACCAAAAAATAATTATTATTGTTGTGAGAGGCCAGTAACAGAAAAACCAGCAAATCCATAAGGCACAAATATTTCCTAATGGACCCTCGGGATTCGAGTTCATAAACCAAAAATGCAATCTGATTAACCTTAATGTTTCAGACTCAATGAAATCATCAATTCAAATTGACCTCAAGAGATCTGAAAATTCAACCAATACCTTTGCTAGGCCTAAAATCATCCCCGAAATTCAATGAAACCATCGGAAATCCGATTCAAGCATCCAAACTTCAAATGCTGACCAAAGTCAACTCAAGGGCAAAAATCATCCAAACTTCCAACTTGAGACCTCAAATGTACGAAACACCTCTGAATCTGGAACTGATGACTCTTCTATACATAATTCCACATTCCAAAACTAATGGAGCTGACATAATTTCATTTCGAGACTCGAAACTCCGAGTAACACCGAAACCACTTTTAACTAGCTTAAGCCTTTCAAAACACCAAAACTTCTAAAAAAACCACAATTTTTTTATCAAAATTTCAAAACCAACTTCAAAAACCAATTAGAAATAACCCAGAGAAACACTCGGGAAGGTTAAAAAGATAATTTTGTGAAAATTCCAAAAATGACCTTCCAGGTCATTACACTTTATATATGAAAACCATTTTTTCTTATATTATAGGAAAATAAGTTCATTTGAAAAATATTTTTCAAAACATTTACGCAATCAAACTAAAAAGTATTTTTAAAACATTTTTCTTCATTCTAAACACACTCTTAATGAGTGTACTTTTTAGAGGTTTCTCCACTCTTACATACTGCAAAGGGAGAGGAGAGTCTGTTGCAATGAGGATGAATCAATCGAGCATCTATTTTTCCTATGCTCATATGCAACAACTGTATGGGAAAAACTACTAATGTAGCAAAGGATCAGAAGAAAAGCTATGGGATGGACAGGGGAGCTTCATTGGGCTTGCACACATGCAAATAGTGGTAGCGTAGCTGCAAATCTCTACAGGCTCTCCTTGGCATGTTGTATCTATGCTTTGTGGCATGAGAGGAATGTAAGGATCTTTCAAAATCAGAAAACTGAAGTTAATATTCTGTTGAGAAGAGTGGTCCTAATTAGATACATAAAAGAGGTACAATATATAGTAGGCTAAAGAGGATGTTAGATGAAAGAATGTATAGAAATATACTAGAAAGGATCGTGAGAAATTTTTTGGATTTTGTATTTCTTCAACCTGTCATTACAAAGCTACTGTACAAGCAAATATATTCAAACGTCCTAGGGATTGAATGGTAATAAAATCAACTAAGTACTTGCCTAGTACATACAGCTGTATAACATAAAATAGGACATGTACTATTTCTAGAGTACTGTACTCTAAAATATCTGTACATGTATATGTATTTACAAGGAAATTGTTCTACTAGAACTGGACCTCTATTGTTTCTGTTGTTGAAGCCCATAACGAATAAATCAATCCAATAATATAGTTGGGCTTATGTTCTGATCCAAAGGCAAATCAACAACTTGCTTCTTCACTCAACTTCTTCTTAGCTTCTCTCTTTGTTGAGTAAATTAAGTCACCGGAAACATCCCCCCTCAAGTAGGAGACCGGAGATCGGACTCCTAACTTGCCAATGAAGTGCCGATGGAGTGGTCCAACCAAAGCTTTGGTGAATAAGTCTGCAATTTGAGAAGAAGAAGGAACGAAATACAGAGAAATTAACCCATCAAGAAGTTTTTCACGGATGAAATGACAATCAAGTTCGATATGTTTTGTTCGTTCGTGAAAGATAGGGTTTTGTGCAATATGAATTGCTGCTTGATTGTCACAATGAAGGTTTATAGGAAGAGAAGGAGATAAAGAGAGATAAAAAAGGAGACGAACCACCCAAGAAATTTCTGCAACTAGCCTGCGCATAGAGCTATATTCGGCTTCCGCCGAGGATAAGGAAACCACCATCTATTTTTTAGATTTCCAAGAGATTGGTGAGCCTCCGAGGCTAAGATAAAACCCACTTACAGATCAGCGGGAATCAGCACACGCAGCCCAATCCGCATCAACAAAAGGCAAGAATTTGAAAAGAAGGAGATGAATTGATAAAAAGGCCTAAACTTGGATCTTTTCTGAGGTATCGCAAAGTGTGATAAGCTGCCTGTAAATGGCCTGTACAAGGGGTTTGCATAAATTGGCTCAAGGTTTGAACAGTATATGACAAATCTGGTCGTGTGTGGGTGAGAAAGTTCAGTTGTCCCAACAAACACCGATAAAAGGTTGGATCTTGAAGAACAGTTCTAGAATCAGAGCTCAATTTTACTGTTGGATCTAAGGGTGTGGAAGCAAGACGAGATCCAATGTCTGGGTATTCTGATAAGGGGTCAAGAGTGAACTTCCGTTGTGTTATGATGAGTCCATCTAATTCAGGTATTATTTCCATCCCCAAAAAATAATTTACTAATCCCAAATCTTAAATTCTTTATCCAGAAACATTTTCAAGTCACGAATTTCCTCTGTATTGTTTCCTGTCAACAAAATATCATCGACATATACAACAATTATAGTTATCAATGTCCCTGAAGATTTTGTAAATAAGGAGTAATCATTCATGGAATGGACAAGAGCTGCAGATAATCGTGAATACCATTGTCGAGAAGCTTGTTTTAATCCGTAGAAAGACTTACGAAGTCTACATACATGAGATGAAGATGGAGGATCAACCCCTGGAGGGAACTTCATGTACACTTCCTCGTCCAAGTCCCTATGGAGAAAAACGTTATTCACACTGATACAAAAGCCAGCCCTTCTTTACTGCAATACTCAAAATACAACGTATGGTTGTCATCTTAATCACAGGTGAATAAGTTTCTGTATAGTCTATACCCTCTCTTTGAATATCCCCCTTTACTACCAAACGTGCCTTTAATCTTTCCAAAGGGCTATCAGATTTCAATTTGACTTTGTATACCCATTTGCAGGGTAAAGCCTTCTTTCCGGGAGGAAGGGAAACTACTTCCCAGGTGGAGTTAGATTCAAGGGCTTCAAGTTCTTGCTGCATAGCTAATGTCCAACCTGGATGGATAGCTGCTTGTTGGTAAGAAGAAGGTTCTTTGATTTGTGAAATAGAGTAAAAAATGTGATGATTAGAACCATTGAGTACAGAATAAGCAGAAGAATACATAGGAACCACATGTGGATTAGGGGAGATAACTGTAGAAGCAGTGTTGCATATATAATCTGAGAGATAGTGACGCTTAACCGTTGTTCTGGTAGATCTGCGTTGGTCTTGTGTTGTTGGTAACACATCCCTGTCATGAGAAATAGAATTAGTCGGAGAATCAACAGACAAGTCTCTTTGTTCTATCGTGTTACCTGAGGTAGGATTGACAAAATCATCCTGATGGATAGAAAGAGGTGAGAAAATATCAGGATGAGAGCTAGTATTTGTGGACTCAGTAAATATGGAAGGAAATGGTATATCACTAGAAGGAAATGAAGAAGAAGGAAAAAAATTTGTCATAGGTTCTGGGTGGGCAAAAGGAAAGATCATTTCATGAAATTTGACATGTCTAGTAACAAATAGCTGATTGGTTTGAAGGTTTAACACCTTGTATCCCTTCTTCCCAAAAGGATAACCAAGAAAAACACCAGCAACTGCCCTAGGTGCAAGCTTGTCTCTATTGGCAGACAATGTGGAGGCAAAACAAAGACATCCAAAAGGTTTAAGGTTAGAGTAATTTGGTGTTTTTCCTAAAAGAATTTCATGCGGTGTTTTGTATTTTAGAACCTTGGAAGGAAACAAATTGATCAAATGAGTGGCAGTAAGCAAACTCCCCCCCCAATATTTAGTAGGGAGATGCGACTGAAAAAGAAGAGCCCTACAAACTTTAAGCAAATGTTTGTGTTTCCTCTCAACTACCCCATTTTGTTGTGGGGTAGCAACACAACTTGTCTGGTGAATGATCCCTTGAGAGTTGAAAAAATCTGTATCTACATTCCCAAAACCTAATTCACAAGCATTGTCGGATCTAATAATCTTTACTTTTCTAGAAAATTGTCTTTCTATGTAAGCTAAAAAGGATTTAAGAAGAGGAAAAGCATTGGATTTGGTAGATAAAAGATAGGTCCAAGTAGCTCTTGAAAAATCATCCACAATGGTCAAAAAATATCTTTCTCCTTTGTGAGTAGGAGTTTTGTATGGTCCCCAAGTATCAATATGTAAAAGTTCAAAACAATGTTTAGAGGAAATAGAACTTTTTGGGAAAGGAAGCTTAGATTGTCTTGCCATGGGGCAAACATCACAAGAAAACCGATGTTTCTCATTTGAAACAAGGATCCCTGCAATATTCTTCATCGCATTATAAGGCATGTGTCCTAATCTGAGATGCCATAATTTAATAGATTCAGGATTTTCAGAAACATAATTCTTTCCATTCATATGATCAAAAGTAGACATAGGAGGAGTCAAAACAGGCTCAGGTACAACACATGAAGACTGAAACTTTGGGACTACATTCTCAGACTTGAGACTACTTTTAAGAGAAAACTTCGAAGACTGAATGTTAGAAAACTTAATGGAATTGTTGGCAATGGATGTGTTATCCTTCAGCATGTATAAACCAGCAGCACAATCACCAAACTTCCGATTAATCCTCACTGTAGAAAGGTCCTGTAAGAAGCAGCAATTTTTAGTAAAGAGAACTCCAACATCTTTTTGCTCATAGAATTGAGTAACAGATAAAAGATTATGCTTAAAAGAAGGGACATATAGAACATTTTCTAACTTTACTTGAGAAGACAAATTAACACTACCCAAGAAATAAACCTTGACCCTATATGCATTTGGAAGCCTAACAGAGATAGGTTTAGATAATTGTTTTATATCATTCAAAAGTGACTTGTCATAAGTCATATGTTGTGATGCCCCTGTATCTATGATCCATTGATTTTCAGGAAAAGTGGTGTAACAACTAGAGAAAAGATGCAATGCTATAGCAATACCAGCCAGATTTGCATTCACATCTGCATAAGAACCTGAATGGTTGGAACCTTCTGCATGAACTGATTGAAACATATGAATCAGATTTTCACATTGCTCTTTTGAGAAGCCTTGAGAGTTAACAAGGGTGGACATAGTGTTTCTTGAAACTGATGGTATAGGATAAGGTGTTCATTTGCTTCCACTGCATTTGCTTTTGCATTGCTGAAATTTTTCTTTCCCTTTGTGAACTTGAAATCCTGTGGATACCCAATTAGCCTATAACAATTGCCTCTCACATGATTAGTCCTTTTACAGTAGGTGCAGTATAAATTGTTCCTCTCACTCGTCATTTCAGAGTTTCCCCTTTGAGCAATGTTGTCTCTTACTTCTCCCATTTTCGCAGGTGCTGGATTGTGCACAACAGGGTTGTATCTGGTTGAGGAGCTAGATCCAGGTGTAGTGAACTTGTTAGCGGAGAAAAAAGCAGCAGAATTGATTGATACATGTTTACCTGATTGCACCTCCCTCTGTGATTCATCATGTAGGATTATGGAATATGCTTGATTGGTAGAAGGTAATGACTTCATCATCAGAATGTGGCCCCTAACTGCGCAGTAAACTTCATTAAGCCCCATCAAAAATTGGATCAGCTTCATGTCTTCATTCATTTTTTGATTATGGGTCTTTGCTCCACACTTGCACTCACAAGAGCATGTCATAAAAGTATTCAACACCTTCAACTGATCCCAGATTCTTTTAAGTGAACAGGCTCAGGTACAACACATAAAGACTGAAACTTAGAGACTACATTCTCAGACTTAAGACTACATTTAAGAGAAAACTTCGAAGACTGAATGTTAGAAAACTTAATGGAATTGTTGGCAATGGATGTGTTATCCTTCAGCATGTATAAACCAGCAGCACAATCACCAAACTTCCGATTAATCCTCACTGTAGAAAGGTCCTGTAAGAAGCAGCAATTTTTAGTAAAGAGAACTCCAACATCTTTTTGCTCATAGAATTGAGTAACAGATAAAAGATTATGCTTAAAAGAAGGGACATATAGCACATTTTCTAACTTTACTTGAGAAGACAAATTAACACTACCCAAGAAATAAACCTTGACCCTATATGCATTTGGAATCCTAACAGAGATAGGTTTAGATAATTGTTTTATATCATTCAAAAGTGACTTGTCATAAGTCATATGTTGTGATGCCCCTGTATCTATGATCCATTGATTTTCAGGAAAAGTGGTGTAACAACTAGAGAAAAGATGCAATGCTATAGCAATACCAGCCAGATTTGCATTCACATCTGCATAAGAACCTGAATGGTTGGAACCTTCTGCATGAACTGATTGAAACATCTGAATCAGATTTTCACATTGCTCTTTTGAGAAGCCTTGAGAGTTAACAAAGGTGGACATAGTGTTTCTTGAAACTGATGGTATAGGATAAGGTGCTTCATTTGCTTCCATTGCATTTGCTTTTGCATTGCTGAAATTTTTCTTTCCTTTTGTGAACTTGAAATCCTGTGGATACCCAATCAGCCTATAACAATTACCTCTCACATGATTAGTCTTTTTACAGTAGGTGCAGTATAAATTGTTCCTCCCATTCGTCATTTCAGAGTTTCCCCTTTGAGCAATGTTGTCTCTTACTTCTCCCATTTTCGCAAGTGCTGGATTGTGCACAACAGGGTTGTATCTGGTTGAGAAACTAGATCCAGGTGTAGTGAACTTGTTAGCGAAAAAAAAACCAACAGAATCGATTGATACATGTTTACCTGATTGCACCTCTCTCTGTGATTCATCATGCAGGATTATGGAATATGCTTGGTAGAAGGTAATGGCTTCATCATCAGAATGTGGCCCCTAACTGTGCAATAAACTTCATTGAGCCCTATAAAAAATTGGATCAGCTTCATGTCTTCATTCATTTTTTGATTATGGGTCTTTGCTCCACACTTGCACTCACAAGAGCATGTCATAAAAGTGTTCAACACCTTCAACTGATCCCAGATTCTTTTAAGTTTAGTATAGTATGTTGCAACATCATTGCTTCCTTGACTAATATTGTTCAACTCTCTTTGCAGCTGAAAAAGTTTGGAACCATCAGGCTGTCCATATCTCTCCTCTAGCTCAGACCACAAATCCACATCAGTCGAGAGTATATGACACTCTCAGAAATGTCCTTGCTTAGAGAGTTGAGTAGCCAAGCAATCACCATGTCATTACGCCTTTTCCATTGTCCGAATAGAGGTGAGCTTTCACTAGGAATCTCAACTTTTCCATTTATGAAATCAAGTTTGTTCTTAGCTGAAAGAGAAATCAAAACTCCCCTTTTCCAGTTCCCATAACTAGATCCACCAAAAGTCACATTAATGAGGTTCATTCCAGGTGAATCTAAAGATGAGAGATAATAGGGATAGGTCAAATCTACTACCTCGCTGGTAGTTCTGGATTCAGAAGCAGAGAGAGTTGATGGAGGATCTACTCTCATATCTGAATCTAAAGAAGAAGAAGAATTTCCAGAGGAGATCAAACGGAAAGGAAGAAGATGAATCCTTCTAGTATCGCTCTGATACCATGAAAGAATGTATAGAAATATACTAGAAAGGATCGTGAGAAATTTTCTGGATTTTGTATTTCTTCAACCTGTCATTACAAAGCTACTGTACAAGCAAATATATTCAAACGTCCTAGAGATTGAATGGTAATAAAATCAACTAAGTACCTGCCTAGTACATATAGCTGTATAGCATAAAATATGACATGTACTATTTCTAGAGTACTGTACTCTAAAATATCTGTACATGTATATGTATTTACAAGGAAATTGTTCTACTAGAACTGGGCCTCTATTGTTTCTGTTGTTGAAGCCCATAATGAATAAATCAATCCAATAATATAGTTGGGCTTATGTTCTGATCCAAAGGCAAATCAACAGCCTGCTTCTTCACTCAACTTCTTCTTAGCTTCTCTCTTTGTTGAGCAAATTAAGTCACCGAAAACAGAGAGCTTGAATTACTATCCTAAGTAGCTTGTTCCTGCTAGTATTTACATAGTATGCTTGTATAGGATAGAAGAGGAAGTCTTGGAGCATGCAGACATGGGGTTGTCCATTGCCTGCCTGTTTTTTTGTTTTGTAATTGTCACTTGGTAGTAATAAAATCTTTACTTTCCAAAAAAGGGAGAGGATAGTGCAATTAATAAATACTCATGTGTTATCCATATTTTATGATGAATAACATGATTTGATCCATAGTTGACCCATTTTTAAATGATTGAATAACCTACCCATTTAAAATAAATTAATCAAACGAATATTTATAAGTTGAACTCATTTACCCCCTAATTGAACTAACAGATATGACTCCAGACACTAGCTAGTAAATTAATTAAATGGATTAATATGAAATGAAAACTTATGTACCCCACATAAATGCCTCAGTTTCACAGTAATTATTCCTCCAACATCTATATATCTCTCTCTCTATATATAAAGAAGGAACATATACAAGGTGATGTGACATATCTCTATGACTTCCATTCATATTTTTCTTTTTCCTTCTTTTTTTTGGCCATTTTTCCTTCATTTAATTATTTATGTTATGTTTAATATCTAAAAAGAAAATTGCATTCAATTACTCAACTTTTCACCTTCCACTTTAATGATTCTTTTTATTAGATATAATGTACAACAATCTTAGTTCTCTTAATGTCACGGCCCAACCCATCGGGCAGTGCGGGCACCCACTTTAACGCCTAAATAGGAGGATCCTCATATCCCAAAAGTTAAAACATGCGGAAAATTAATGAAAAACGGAGATAAATGAAATCATAGTGTTTTTATAAATGAAAACCTTCTTTAACAAATTCGGGTTAAGACTTGTAAAGTAATTAACACCCCCAAGGATCTAGTCTAAGAGGTACAAGAGCTACTATGAGTACAACAGGACATAATAATGAAAAGACACAGCTCCCACCATGCAGAAGGAAAAGTAGAAGCTGTTGGAGAATTCTTTGTCTTCATCTAATGAAACATCACCAACCTCCAGACTATGCCAAAAAGGCATAGCAAAAGTATTATCAGTACAAAACCACACGTATTGGTAGGCATCATCGGTCAACCCAACTCCCACCACATAACATAAGAAAACAACTAGCAAGAATATCCGATTAACCACTCGCTTCTCCACTTTTACCCTCTCTGAAATACCTCTGAATTACACTAGCACCCTTACTACTAACCACCTTCTCAGTCAACCTACTTACTAGGTTCTTGATCTTAGCCTAACCATCCTAACGCATAGAAGAGTCCACGAATACCACTACACGCATCCAACTAACCACCCACGACATACCCTTACTTTCTCTTCTATGTTACCATGCCCTTGCCACATGGCATATTACATCAAGATTTCTAACTACCAACCACTAATTCCTTCCTCCAAGGTGAAATCCACCTAAGTAATTACATTATGTACACTACCCCCACTTCTCGCCCTTACAACACACGAATAACCTTTGCTCTCAAATATTACGACCCTTGAACCCTCGGCCTTCTCGATTCATTTAACAACGAGATACGTAACAAGTTCACTCAACATAAAAGAACAATCAGATATAAGTTCTCATAACCATGTAACAACTCCGGGGATGTCACACCCCAAATCCGGATGTGATGGCACGTGTCCATTTCCCACCGAACACGTCAGCCTAACCCAACCACAATGATAGAGAAGTAGAGATACGAGAATAAAAGATAATAAATAAGCGGAAGACTTTAATTAAGACTCAACACTACCTCGAATTTGGTTGTCACATGTACAAACCTCTAAATATAGAATTCGAATAAAAATATACAAGTCTCAGAGTATAGTTCTCGAATAGAACAAAACTGAAAGTAAAGATAACTCAAGGGCACGTCTGGAATGAACCGCTACCTCTCGAGTATGTCCCAAAGCTCAATCTGCTAAAGAAAATACTAAGCCGAAGCTGAGAGAGCTGTCAACCTACACAATTGTGTAGAAGCAAGGGTGAGTACCGAAAACCACAGGTACTCGCAAGTAACTCTAAACTAAGCAAAACTAGCAGCTACAAACAACTCCTTACAATCCCAACCGAACCACCGAAACTTCATTCTAACAGCGAACCAACAACCTATACTACACAATTCATAATCAACATATATATCCAACAGTGTCTCAAAATCAACCTCATATCCTCATATAAGAGCAAATAGATCATATATCACATGAAGAGGGGCAAATAGGTAAAATCCACACACCACAGACAAAGATGAAGTGAAATGCGATGCAAATGCAATAATGATGTCATGTAGTCGTGATGCATATCTGTCCTACGATACACATCTGTTGACGTAATCAGTCCGCGCTGAATACTCAAATCAGAACCCATGGGGGCCACACATGGACCATGTATCCCCGCCGGAACCAGATCCCATCGGCA